AGTCATCTAAGTAGATGAAGGTTTTTTTAAAATAACTGTTAAGAAAATACCTTTGTGAATCCCCAAGTCCATATATTCATGTTCTGCTTGGCCCTGAGTGAGTTACTGAATTTTCTTTAAGCTTGAATATGTGTTTGTGTTTGAAACACGTCGGTATATATACTGCTTCATTTTTCTGAACCATTAATCCAGTATGTTAGTATTAAAATGAGTGCTTCATGTCTTCTCCACTTTGTTTCAGTTTTGTCGCTGTGGTCTTCAGTTCAGTCTGAATGAGTCATAATTATCTCCCCTTCCCCGCCCCCCACTCCTCTTTCTTTTTAGCAGATGACAGTCACATGTAAACTCCTACCAGTCCTGGAACATTTAAGGTTTTAGGTGAAGTCGTACAAACTGAGATTTAGTCTGCATTTTGCTTCTGGCTTGTTTCAGTAACCATGTGCAGTTGCTGGCTTACGTATCATGACAGCCAAGGAAGTGGCACTGCTGGGCAGGAATTGGAGAGATAGACAGTTGTCTAGTGGATTTGTTTCTAAAGAAATAATTTTGTCTTAAAAGTTCTCATAAGAGAGAGGAGAGGTTGTTTTGTTTGTTTGACTTAGCAAGATAATTGCTTGTCTTTTCACCTTAACAGCATGCAGTTACTAGCCTGAGTTTCCTAAATGGGAACTGATAAAATGGTAGTACTTAAAGAATTCTGTGAGATTTATTTAATTCACTTTTAATAGCCTAAGATCATCATGTAAAAGGTGCATTGTAAGTGTGAATTACTGATACTTTTTCATTTTTCCTCACCCTAAGGGACAGTGCCTGAAATAGCTGCCTTCCTTATTACCCCACATGTCAAGACTGAGAAACTTAATACATACCATGATCACAACTTTTGAGATAGAATTGAATTGCTGTCATTGAAAACAGCAGGACATCTTGCAACCGTTTAAATAGCAATTCTTAGTATAATCTTTTCTGTCAAGAGAAATACAGCCATTCTTTGGTAGCAGTGGCTCAAAATATATTGTAATGCACTGACTCACTGCTCCAAATTGTCAAGTTTATCAGTAAATTGCTTTTTGTATTGAATAATTAGATTTAGAATGATAGACATCTGGAGGGGTTTCAAGTCCCATTATAGAATTCTGTGACAAAATTATGACATCAATTTTTTAAACAAAAGGGACGGTATAAGCATAAAGCAAGATGAATTATTTGAAAATCCCTAGGAAGTTCTTTTACATTAAAATTGTTTTCTTTGATACTGTGAGCATACTGTTTTGAATCCCTGTTCTTTTGGTTCTCTGAGTTTAAAAACAAGAGTGTGTGTATGTATACACACACAAATATACACGCACATATTCAGATACCTATGTCTGAATCACTCTTCTGTATACTTGAAACTAGCACAATATTGTAAATCAACTATGCTTAAATAAAAAAATGTTTATAAAAGTTTTTCATGTTCCCGCTAGCAAATTAAACAGCACAGAGACATTTTGATTACAAAGCAGCAGTCTTCTGTTGAGATACTTTCCCTGTCGCAGTTCCCGTTAGCGGACTCTGCCTTGACCTTAAGTGATAGACTTATACCTACTTGCTGAATTGTTAAATAATACCTTTAGTCTTCTTGCTGTGAATTTTGAGGATGTTCACCAGCTTGTTCACCTGTTTTCTTTTCCCGCCTCCCAGTTAATGATATTCATATTTTTTAAAAAGTACTGGAGGGATGGGATGGGGAGGGAGGTGGGAGGGGGGTTCAGGATGGGGACACATGTACACCTATGGCTGATTCATGTCAGTGTATGGTGAAAACCACTACAATATTGGAAAGTAGCTAGCCTCCAATTAAAATAAATAATTAAAAAAAGAGTATTTGTTGTCTTTCTAAATGAAGTAGTATATTTAAGCCACTGTTGCTTGTTGCTTCACATTTCAGCAGTACTCGTTGGTTCTTTACTTTATAAAATGAGGGTGTTAATACCTTTGTTTTTCCTTCCATCTACTCACCCCCCCCCCCCCCCCCCCCCCATCCACTTTTGGTTGGTTTCTATCAGCTACACTTGATTTTGCATCTTCATGGTTAGTAGTGTTTCTGTTTTGTAGTGTGCAACTACAACCTGTTATCTGTGTGTTTTCTGTAATAAAAGGCCAATGAACTCTCTATAAGCTTACCTGTTGAGTGCCAGACCAGACAGGGTGTTAGGATTAGATTTCCTATAGGTCCAATGTTAGGATCTCTCAGTGATCAATGCAAAGAAATAGAGGAAAACAATAGAATGGGAAAGACTAGAGATCTCTTTCAAGAAAATTAGAGATACCAAGGGAACATTTCATGCAAAGATGGGCTAAATAAAGAACAGAAATGGTATGGACCTAACAGAAGCAGAAGGTATTAAGAAGAGGTAGCAAGAATACACAGAAGAACTATACAAAAAAGATCTTCATGACCCAGATAACCATGATGGTNAAACAACAGAATGGGAAAGACTAAAGATCTCTTCAAGAAAATTAGAGATACTAAGGGAACATTTCATGCCAAAACAGGCACAATAAAGGACAGAAATGGTATGGACCTAACAGAAGCAGAAGATATTAAGAAGAGGTGGCAAGAATACACAGAAGAACTATACAAAAAAGATCTAATGACCCCAGATAACCATGATGGTGTGATCACTCACCTAGAGCCAGACATCCTGGAATTCGAAGTCAAGTGGGCCTTAGAAAGCATCACTATGAACAAAGCTAGTGGAGGTGATGGAATTCCAGTTGAGCTATTTAAAATCCTCGAAGATGATGCTGTGAAAGTGCTGCACTCAGTATGCCAGCAAATTTGGAAAGCTCAGCAATGGCCACAGGACTGGAAAAGGTCAGTTTTCATTCCAATCCCAAAGAAAGGCAATGCCAAAGAATGTCCAAACTACCATGCAATTACACTCATCTCACATGCTAACAAAGTAGTGCTCAAAATTCTCCAAGCCAGGCTTCAACAGTACATGAACCATGAACTTCTAGATGTTCAACTTGTTTTAGAAAAAGCAGAGGAACCAGAGATCAAATTGCCAACATCCATTGGATCATAGAAAAATCAAGAGAGTTCCAGAAAAACATCTACCTCTGCTTTATTGATTATGCCAGAGCCTTTGACTGTGTGGATAACAACACACTGTGGAAAATTCTTCAAGAGATGGGAATACCAGACCACCTGACCTGCCTTCTGAGAAATCTGTATGCAGGTCAAGAAGCAACAGTTAGAATTGGACATAGAACAACAGACTGGTTCCAAATAGGAAAAGTAGTACGTCAAGGCTGTATATAGTCACTCTGCTTATTTAGTTTATATGCAGAGTACATCATGCAAAATACTGGGCTGGATGAAGCACAAGCTGGAATCAAGATTGCCGGGAGAAATATCAATAATCTCAGATATGCAGATGACACCACCCTTATGGCAGAAAGTGAAGGAAACTAAAGAGGCTCTTGATGAAAATGAAAAAGAGAGTGAAAAACCTTGCTTGGAACTCAACATTAAAGAAACTAAGATCACAGCATCAGGTCCCACACTTCATGGCAAATAGATGGGGAAACAATGGAAACAGTGACAGATTTTATTTTGGGGGCTCCAAAATCACTGCAGATGGTGACTGCTGCCACCATGAAATTAAAAGACACTTACTCCTTGGAAGGAAAGTTATGACAACCTAGACAGCATATTAAAAAACAGAGACATCACTTTGTTGACAAAGGTCGAGCTAGTCAAAGCTATGGTTTTTCCAGTGGTCATGTATGGATGTGAGAGTTGGGCCATAAAGAAGGCTGAGTGCCAAACAACTGATTCTTTTGAACTATGATGTTGGAAAAGACTCTTGAGAGCCCCTTGGACTGCAAGGAGATCAACCTAGTCAATCCTAAAGGAAATCAATCCTGAATATTCACTGAAAGGACTGATGCTGAAGCTGAAGCTCCAATACTTTGACCACCTAATGAGCCGACTCATTGGAAAAGACCCTGATGCTGGGAAAGATTGAAGGTGGGAGGAGAAGGGGACGACAGAGGATGAGATGGTTGGATGGCATCACTGACTCGATGGACATGAGTCTGACCAAGCTCCGGGAGATAGAGAAGGACAGGGATGCCTGGCATGCTTCTGTCCATGGGGTCGAAAAGAGTCAGACAGGACTTGACCAGTGAACAACAAACACCTATTTCATAACGTCTTCCCCACCTTGAGTCACACGACTTAGAGAAGTGATAGTTGTATCTGTATCAGACATTTCATTCGGGGAAGGATACTGAAGTGGGTTGCCATTTCTTTTACGGGATTTTCCTAGCCCAGAATGAAATCCACGCCTCCTGCATTGGCAGGTGGATTCTTTACCACTGAGCCACCAGGGAAGGCCATATAGGGGGTTAGGTGAAGTAAAAAATAAAAGATGAAAATAACACGAGGGTAAAAACAGGTTTTTAAGATAAAAATGCTTTTTTTCCCCCCTTTGCAGAAGGCATATCTGTGCTTAGCGTTAGCAGTGGTTTGAGTTTCCCTGGTGGCTCAGCTGGTATAGAATCCGCCTGCAATGCAGGAGACCCTGGTTCCATTCCTTGGTTGGGAAGGTCCTCTGGAGGAGGGAGTGGCCACCCACTCCAGTACTCTTGCCTGGAGAATCCCATGGACGGAGGAGCCGGGGGGCTACAGTCTCGGGTTGCAGAGAGTTGGACACGCCTGAGTGACTAAGCGCAGCACAGCAGTGGCTTCAAGTTTTGATTTCAGTCGTGCTGTTGGTAAGAGATGGAGGCACAGATAGTGGCCGGTCTCCTCTTTGTAGATGCACTGTGGAAACGGTGGCAGAAATTGCTACTTTGTTGGTACTGTGTATGATGATTTATACAATGATAGTATTTCAAATTAAAAGTGCACAAATAGGAAAGATTAGTGTGAAAGTATAAAATTTAATGGAATATTAAAAGAGTAAAGACATTTTAATGTAACTTTCTTTGTCTTTATTTTCAAGAATTCAGAAGGAACTTGCAGAAATTACGTTGGACCCACCCCCCAACTGTAGGTAAGTACTTAATGGATTTTTATTTGTATCTTTTGCAGAAGGTGTAATCGAACTATAGCTCTGATGTCTCAACTATTGTTGTTGGAGCCTGATTAATTAGCGAAAACGTGGTTCTGTTTTGGACTTAAGTGACTGTGAAGACAGTGGTTGTGGTGGTCTCCATGCAGAAATGGAATCTTCACGAGTCTGTTTGTAGTGGTCGATGGAGTTGCCAAAAAAAGAGTAATGCAATAACAGTAAGATAATGGAATTACAGGGTAACACATACAATGATCTTTTAGTGTAAGAGGTGTTGGAGTTTTAAATGATTTCTTTCATGATAGAGTAATACTGTGGCTAAAATATTTGCTGTTTGATAATTTATTTAGCTGTTATCTTGCTGAAAATTGATTTTTAGAAGTGCTGGAACATTAAACAGTGTTTCTTCATGGTTTACATTATTTCTTACAGTCCTAGGTTGTGGTGATTGGAGGCGGTGAGGTTAAGTTTGAAACAGTCTCTCCATTATGACCACATACCCTCAATTTTCTGGTCGGAGTTTACTGATGGGAAGTTAAAGTGCTTGCTTGGAGTCGATTAATGATATGCGTAGAGTAGGAGGAGGGAAGTGAGCTTCTGCTGTATCTTGGGTCTGGTACAGTGGTCGGGAGATGGCTCTTTGACGACTTGAAGACGCGTGTGTTTTGCTGTCTCAGTGTTGGAACCAAGCCAGAGCGGAGTTTTATAGTTTAACTTGGTAGCACTGTGCGTCAGAGGTGAGAGGACGAGCTTCAGTACTGAGTACACTGTTGGTATGATTTCTGATTTAACTGAACTTATTTTAATATGAAAGCAAAGATAACAGCTCTGAGTATTAATGGAAGTGAAAAACTTACAGGTTGGCTAAATGGCTAATTGACCATATTTGTGTAGGAAAGATTCTAATAAGACTTAATGTTTGTAGTGAATTTATTATAGTTCTTTACACGAGAGTCACATATATAAACTTGTAGTAATAATGTTCAAAGAATATTTCATTCAACTAGAACAAGTAATTCTTGGTTAGGAAAAGCTGTTGAGTAGTCAGGTGTTTCTGTCACACTTAGGCTGTGTTACCTTAGAGCTGTTTCAGATGTCACAGCTTTGTTTAAGCTTTGGCGGCCAATTCGTGTAAATGGATTCATTTGTGGAAAAACTTCAGTTTGAATTAAACTTAAACTCTCTTGTTTCGTAGGGTAGTATTTGTTTTAATGTTTGAATCTTTTTTTTTTTAAATAAACTGTGTTTACCACATATATTATTCCTGTTACCTTTTTACAAACAACTGAAATGGTACAATATGTGAACTTAGTTTATTCACTTGTTTAAACTTTGAAAACAGATTATTGGCTAAATAAACTAATTGCTTTGTTTTAATGAGCTTGTTTAGGGCTCATTTTTGATGAATGTAATCCCTGTATAATATGTGATGATTAGAGTTTGCAGTTTTGCTATCAGATATATTATTTCCTGGTGCATTGCTCTAATTTAGTTTTGACTTATTACAGATAATAATTTAACTTAGATTAAACCAATATATTATAAATGTGCATGGAAACTGAAAATTCTGAGGAAGAAAATTACATAATGTTTATTCCTTAAATAAACTAAAATGGTTAAATCATAGTTCTGTTTAATGTAAAAAAGAAACATTTTAACTATGGAAATTTGGGGGTTTACTTTTTCATTGAACCTTAGTTAAAGTGTACTGGCGATATTTCTAATAGTTTTTCATTAAAAAAATGTAGATGTCACATATAATTAGCCCCTCAGTTTCAAGAAAGAAACCTACTCAGCTGTATTTTTTCCCCCCAGTTTTACTGAGATACTGACATATTAACATTGTAGAAAGATACCTTGTTTGGTGGATTTGCTGGCTTATGGAAACTTCCAGTGTAATCCTTTTAACTATGTGAAGATTGGATAGCTCAGATTGCTTCAGAACAAGGCCTACGGGTGCAGCTTCTTTGATCTCTAGATAGCTGATGGACTGATCAGGCAGGGACGAAGGTCGTGCCCACCTTCATGTTCGCGGCTCCCCTGTTGCCGACGGTCTTCTGTGCTGCGCTGATGGAAGTGGGGGTTCCTGCCGCCCCTGCGGGCCCTGCCCCTCACGTCGATGCTCACCGCGAGTCCTGCCCCTCACGTCGACGGCCATGTGGGCCCTGCCCCTCACGTCGACGGCCATGTGGGCCCTGCCCCTCACATCGATGCTCACCGGGAGCCCTGCCCCTCACGTCGACGGCCATGTGGGCCCTGCCCCTCACGTCGATGCTCACCGCGAGCCCTGCCCCTCACGTCGACGGCCATGTGGGCCCTGCCCCTCACGTCGACGGCCATGTGGGCCCTGCCCCGCACGTCGACGGCCATGTGGGCCCTGCCCCGCACGTCGACGACCATGTGGGCCCTGCCCCGCACGTCGACGGCCATGTGGGCCCTGCCCCGCACGTCGACGGCCATGCGCTCGCTGAGGGGTTTCCCGTAGTCCTTGGATTTTTCTGTGGGTGTGTCGGGTTAGAGATGGGACCTCGGAACTTTAGTGCATCTCTTTTGTGTTGTCTGCTAAGCGACTCTTGGGTTCATATTACAGGAACCAGCCTGTGTTTGTCTTCTACTGTAGTATTGCTGAAGGTCTCCCCGCCCCCCCAGGCTTTCAACAGACTTAAATCTTTTAAGAGTATGCACAAAATATTTTGATGATCAGTTAAATTATTTCTTTGTATAGGTAATATCTGCCTATACAGTTTCTGGGTTTCTTTTCAGTTTTTGGGTCATTGTTGTCTTTGAGGTAAAAGTGCAGTAATCTTTTTTTTTTTTTTTAGGCTGGATTAATTCTTTTATAACATTAGAATTAATATTTAAAACCGAAACCTTATGATTTATCTAAGAAAAGAGTTTCTGTTCACAGAACGGTAGGGTCTGTGGGATCGTAGGCGTAGGGAAGTGTGCGTGATCGGGTGGAGTTCGGGTATGCACGTCGAGCATTCTCTGTGGATAGCAGAGGTGCTTTGCTGAGTCTCCGTGTGCGGTGGGAGACGTTTGAAGGGCTCCCTCCGAGGCCTCTGCAGGGGCCCGCGTGTTGGTCCCACTCTGAGCTGGAGGTGCTGGTCGTGGCCGCAGCTGCTCGCTGCCTCAGAGGCCTGCGCACCAGCTCAGCTTCTAGATGACTGTGCTGTGACCTCGGGGATTCCGCACGGCTGTCACAAATGCAGACTCAAAATCTGTAAATGTGCTGGCGTGTTCATTTCTCTTTCCTCAGTGCTAGTGGGAAACTGGCAGCTAGCTGGAAGATTTTCTGAATTAAGATACAAGTTTCTGTCATCCTGAGGATAACCTGTCTCTCTGTATTGCACAGAAGCTAGATTCAAATTCTGTTATGGTCTGATGCTGCCCAAATTTATATTAGCTTTATAAGCATGGAAATGACAGAGATCCTTGCTACTTTTTAAAAGTAGAGACTGTGGTAAAATGATTCGCTTGGATTTTGATTTTTGATTTACTATTTGAGCAAATGAAAGGAAAACATACTTGAGGATGTAGTTCAGTTATATTAGCAGTTTTTACTTTTATTGCTATGTTTCAATTATCTACTCGTTGAACACAGACTCTGCTTTATTTTTTAATTGTAACAGCTTTATTGAGATGTAATTTGAAGTGTAAATTTCAGTGACTTTTAGTGTATTCACTGCTTTATATCTGTCACAATCAATTTTGCATTCAGATCACCCCAAAAGATACACATCATACCTTTTAGCAATCACTCCTTTCCCATTTCCTCCCAATTTCACCACCATCCAGCCCTGGGCAACCATTGGTCTACTTTTGTCTCTATAGATTTGCCTTCAGGACATTTTGTACAAATGGAATCATACAATATGTAGTCTTTTGTGACTGGCTTCTTTCATGAAGCATAATGTTTGCAAGATTCATCTATGTTGTAGCATTCATCAGTACTTTATTTTTGTCTCTGAATAATATTCCATTGTGTGGCTATAGTACATCCTATTTATCTGTTCATCAGTTGATGGAAGTTTGGGTTGTTTTCATTTTGTGGTTATTGTGAATAATGCTACCATGAATATTTGTGTACAAGGTTTTGGTGGACATTTGTTTTCGTTTCTCTTGGCTATAGATAGACCCAGGAGTAGAGTTGCTGGGTCGAACACTAACTGAGTTTAACCTTTTGGGGAACTGCTGGACTGTATTCCGGAGTGGCTGCAGCATTCTACCTTCCTAACAGCAGTGTATCAGAGTTCCAGTTTCTCTGCTGCCTTAGCAGCTGTTATTGTCTGTCTTTTAATGATGGCCCTCCTTGTCGTGAAGTACTGTGTCACTGTGGTCTGGATGTTTCTTACCCTATTGAATAGTAATCTTGATAACTATCTTTTTATATGCTTATTGGACATTTTTGTATCTTGTTTAGAGAAATGTCTATTCAAATTCTTTGACAGTTTTTAAGTTGTTTTGTCTTTTTTGTTGTTGAGTTGTAAGTACTATTTATTTATTTTGACTACAAGTCCCATATCAGATATATGGTTTGCAAATATTTTCTTTAATTCTGTGGATAGTGTTTTCACTTTCTTGATAGTTCCTTTTAAAGCATAAAAGTTTTAAATTGTGATGAAGTCCAATTTATCTATTTTTTTGTTACTTTGCATACTTGCTATTATTTCTGCAAAACCATTGCCTATTCCAAGATTAAAAAGATTTTTGCCTACATTTTTCTAATAAGACTTTTTTAGTTTTAGCTTTTATATTTTGGTGTCTGATCCATTTAGTATACGGTGTGAGCTACAGGTCCAACTTCATGCTTTTCTTGTAGATACCCAGTTATCTCAGCACCACCGCTACAAAGACCCTTTTCCCCATTGAATTGTCTTCATATCCTGTTGAAAAATCAATAGATCATAAATGTGAAGGTTTATTTCTGAACTCTCAGTATTATTCCATTGATCTATGTCTGTTGTTAGGCCACAGTCTTG